TAAAAACACGCTATGTATTCTGCAAAAAAACTTGTATTTTGCTTTTTATCTATCTCGATACAACAAATTATTGTTCATTACTTACATGTACAAAAGATATTCGTCTAGTTCTGTAACTAAGGTAGACTACCCAAATGGGCATTATAAAGAACTGTAAAATTGACAACATCGTCATAGAAAAGAAATGAGATGAATTGTATAGAATTTGTTTGACAGGATTTATTAATATATGCAACGATAGGAAATGCTAAAATAATATAACAAACCTCCGGCGGGACTCGAACCCGCAATCCCCGGCTTAGGAGGCTGATGCCACGGAGGCGGTGATTTATATATATATGCACAATTTCACTAATTCGTTGTCCATTTAATCCTCTATGAAAAGAATACTTCGATTAGTATAGAAATTGTATAAATGTCGCTGCTAATTAAAACTCTCAAGTTTTTCTTTCAGACTTCCTCGCGACATTTTATGATAAAACGATGAAAATTCTCGAGGGTTTAAAATGGCCATAGATCTGTGCGAGTTTAAGATAACAAAAATATTTATGTAAAGACTGAGGAACTGCATTATAATAATGATGATATAATGATTTGAGAATCGAGAACCCGAAATAAACAATGTTTAAACAGTTTAATTAACGTCAATCATTGTTGAGCAAAGTAAGGGGTTTTATGACACGAGTTTAGTTTTGAAATTTAAGCATGAGGATATAAGACATTGAAATCTTTTGTTCTTGTTTTAAAAGATATCAAGACAAAAACATGCTTTGTATTGTGCAAAAAAAAACTTGTACGGGCATGGTTGGAGACTGTCGTATAAAGCAGTAACACTAAGTCGTTGTCCATTTTCTACTTTTATATACAGCCTCTATGAAAAGAATACTGCAAAATGTACAGATACATGTAATATTCTATAATTAGGCGATCACTTCATTAATTTCTTTGATAAATGTAAAAATGATAAATTTGTAAAATTTGAAGAAAAAAATCTGTTTCCGCTGAGGATTGAGCTCAGGACCTTCCGCGTGATAAGCGGGTGTGATAACCACTACACCACGGAAACAGTTAATTGGTGAAATCTGAAGTATTGTACATATCGAAATTTGTCTTAAATTAAGCTTAATGTTTTTTTCCGTCTAATTTTATATTCAAAATCTAAAACACAAAAAAAAACTCTCGAGTTTTTGTTTCACACTTCCTCGCAACATTTAATGATAAAACGATGAAATTTCTCGCGGGTTTAAAATGGCCGAAACCGGCCACCATAGGCCTGTGCAAGTTTAAGTTAACATAAATATTAATGTAAAGACTGAGGAACTGCATTAAAATATTGATGATATAATGATTTGATAATCGAGAACGCAGGATTGTATGTCGAAATTGTATAAAAAGTCCTCTATTTGTGTTATCAAAATCTAAATTTAAAAGAAGTAACAGTAGTATTTTGTATGAATGTATGAATGTTTGACTCGTATAAAATTGACAGCATCTATGAAATAATCGTAACTATAGTATCAAAAGTTGGTTGGATGTTCGTCAAGTCTGATTAGAGACAATACAATAAGATATAAACATAAGTTAAGAATAACTAAATAATTATGTTAACTATTGAAATAAAGTGTTTAATTGAAAAGTGATGTAATCCAACTATCAGTATCAAAAGATGGTTGGATGTTCGTCAAGTCTGATTAGAGACAATACAATTTAGATATGAATAAATAAATAATAATGTTAACTATTGAAATAAAGTGTTCGAAAATTAATGGAAAAGTGATGTTATCGTCATAGTAAAGAAATGAGGTGAATTGTTAAGAATGTGTTTGACAGGATTAATTTATGTATACAACATTAGAAAATGTAATATAACAATCCCCGGCTTAGGAGGCCGATGCCTTATCCATTAGGCCACGGCGGCTGTGGTATTAAAGCAGTAACACTAAGTCGTTGTCCATTTTCAACTTTTATATACGGCCTCTATGAAAAGAATACTGCAAAAAGTACAGATACATGTAATATCCTATAATTATGCGATTATTTCATTAATTTCTTTGATAAATGTAAAAATGATAGAATTTGTAAAAAAAAATGTTTCTGCTGAGGATTGATGGACCTTCCGCGTGTTAAGCGGATGTGATGACCACTACACCACGGAAACAGTTAATTGGTGAATGCTGAAGTATTTAAGACAAATCGAAATTTGTCTTAAAATTATGCGTCATGTTTTATCCGTCTAATTTTATACACAAAAAACAACTTATAAACAACTTATATTAACATTAAAGCTTAAGAAAATCCTAATATGATTTCCAAATGACCGCACTTTGATTGAAATGAAGTTATAGTTTTCTTTCAGAGTTAATATTTACGATACTTCTGTTAAAAAAACAATACGACAAAGGACTTAATCGTGAAATATACTAGATATATTTTTTCGCTCAATGTTTCATTAAGTTAACAGAAAGGCAGTGTTTCTCAGCAATCTTTCATTTTTGTAAAAAATATAAATTATTTTGTGTTTACGTAAAGTAGATCTCTATCATAAGAAAAATTCAATCAATAAACTCTACATGTACCTGTTGTTTTACAAAAATTACGAAAAAGTTTATAGACTGTAGACAAATGTAACTATAGTGTATACAATCATGTCCCCTTTTTATATTTACCTATATCAAACAAATACAGTTATTGCTTTGACTTTGATGAAACATTAATTCTTAATGGAAAATGTCTACGTTTTACGGTGTTATTATTTCGACTTTTCACCAGTCACCATCGTACTTTCCACTTTTCATCATTAGATCTTCGACTTTTCACCAACCAGGTTTCGTTAGTTCGATTTTTCACCGTCGTATTTTCTAATTCTCGTTGTTTCGAATTATTTTGTGTGTCGCGATGGCCCTAACGGGGCACCGTTATTTTTGTAGTATAGCCACATATTTTACTCAACTTAACTGCTCAATGGATGAAATTGCTCGGAACTTAGTTACTTAAGAAGAACTTAGTAACTTAAGAACTTAATCATACTGCAACTCGAAAGATATCATGTCATCGTTTTTTCTATTAAGGTTCAAATAAAAAAGAAATAGATGATCAAAATGTCTTTTCGCCGAATACAACATGTTTTTATTTCAACTTTAAAAATGTGTTTTATGTGGGTTCTTTTAAAATACTAAATACGTGTAAAGATAAACAATGCCACATACGACTCCTCAATAAAGACAACACGAACTTATGTTTAGACAAACCACAACGAGACAGGTGTACGTGTCATTCATAGAAATGTCCCTGAATCATTTTGAAAATGTTAACAGCTTAAAACTAAAGGTCTTGCTGAATTCGCGGCGGAACATGGAACAATTTGGTAATTTGGTGGTCAATGTTAGACAACAACAGGAAAAATGGAACCTTTAAAAACGCCGAAAACGGCAAAATTGAAAATGTTGCAGAGCCCGCTAATGGTTATTATATACAGGTTTACAAGTGCAAGCTCGCAACCACACCCCATCACCCCATTTTGAGCAGAATTCAACATTAAATTTTTACATGAAATGGTAAAAATTTGAATTAAAAAAAAACATCCGTAGATACATCCGCAGATGTTTTCAAAACATGGTTATCACTGACCTTCAATTTGACACGTTAATGGCATTTCATGGAAAGCGGTGTATAGTCCCCCAGTCAAAGACCATTGTTTTCTTTTACGCTTTGAACGGATAAAATGATACATTGCTATAAGTCTCGAGAGAAAGTGGTAAATTTCAAAGTCATTGCAAGCACGCAATTTGTTAATCAAGTTCGATTGGCGAGACATCAGATTATTGTTGGCATTTTAAAGAGTTCATCTCTAAGCAGAGTAAGGAATGTTTTATACAGAAACTGTCGAATGTCTGCATACTATCACCTATCAAACAATCACGACAAAGACACATATTTCATAACCGGTACGTAAAAGAAAATGCGAACACTTACAGTACAAGATATGTTTGTGTCAATTTGTCATGTAGCCAGGTCATTGTGAATTTGGCATACATGTATAAAGATCAATGTGACCTTGAGTGATCATCTATTGGCCTGTGAAGTTTGGGGTGAATGGCCTTTTGGTTGTAAAATTATTGGTCGGAAACCGTTTTGATATATAAAGTCAATGTAATGACCAATCTCCATACCAAGTTTAAAGTTTTTCAGGCCCAGTTGTTCTTAAGTTAATGGTTGGAAATGGTATGGTTTACTGACCGATCGAAGGACTGGTATGTGCAATGCCCCCATCCCCTCTATCTCCTACACACACACCCAAAAAGAACAAGAAAACTCTAAAATCTAAAAATGATAGAACTGTCACGTTTCTCTGAAAGTTTGACGAAAATCGTTTGAAGTAATTTGCTCAAAGGTTAATTAGCTATACAAACGAGCAGAGTTCTCACCATTATTATTCATTGAGCATTAATATAGCATCGTCATTTTATAAAACAAACAGCTCAAAATGATTTGTCAAGTTTATATTAGCATTGATAAATATATATTATGTATAGGCATCTATTAGAGTTAGTAGTACTAGGGTAAGCTAATTTTAGGTTTAAACATTTCACTGTACGATACGATGCGATGCAGTGGAAAACAATACAATACAATACAATAGTTTATACAATTCACTTACAATGCAATGCAATACAATACAATATATTTTAATGCAATTTTATGCAATTCAATGCAGAAAAATAACTTTATACATGTATATCTTGAAAGGCATTAAATTCTTTAGGTATATACATGTAGGGCTATATATTTATTCTGTAAGTCTGGTGTTTTCGTATTACTTTAGAACACAATTGAAATTGATCATTTGATGCATCTTGATTTGTTCTTTTTCCATAATCAAAGGATGTTTGTGTTTTTAATCGGTAAGATAAATGGTGTATGACAGAATATTGCATGTCTACGTTCATGAAAATTATTCAATGACATTCCTCTGAGATAGATAGAATCGGCCTAATAGAACGGCATTGCACGGTTTTTGTCATGGGGAATCGGTCCTATAGAACGGCAGTGTACGGCTATTAGTCTTGAACATTCGGTTCGATTTTTTGCAGGACAGGACGGAAATGTGGCACAAGTGGTAAAATTTAGATATTTTACGCATGTATTTTAATTTGCTTCGCGATAAATTAATGTTCAAACGATCAAATACGAATTCTAGCTGTAATCTTTCGAGTTTCAAACGCAATCTCCAAAGTTTGTTTACATAAGTGTTACAGTACTCGGATAGGAATGACAGACTAGGACATCTGGGAATTATATTATAAGTCCCAGATATCAAAGGAATTACTATACAATGATTTCATGTAGTAGAAAAATGAAACATTTATTACATAAAATTTTCAGAAATATAAACTAATATTCATGACATGATGTCATGATTATGTAGTTTCTTGTAATTTGTAAACCAACTAAAAATAAAGCATATCTTGTACACATGTATCTTGTGTAGTAATCTGCTAATAAGATTTTTTTTTTTTGCTTATTTAAATGATATAAATTGGTAATTATATTAATCAATCAATATCAATCTATTGAAAAGAATAAAAAAGAGAAGGAATTCCACTGCTAGGGCTGTCATTGATTTATTATCTACTGTCAAAGTCGATATATTGATGTAACGTCAATATTTGTCTCTCGATAAATTGATACAAAATTTTTCAATGACAATCCTAGGAATTGCCTCCCCCCCCCCCTTAAACCCTTAAAAGAAAATAATTATAGGGGGAGACCAAAGTAAGGGTAGAGGGAATAGTCTGACTACCCTTGGATAGTCATAATCATATTTGTGTTGCCTCTGCGGAGTAGTGGCGACATAATTATAGGGATCACTTCTCCGTCGTCTGTATGTCTGTCACAAAACTTGGCCGCACTACTCCTCATAAACTACTGTTGCAATTTAATCCAAACTTTACAGGAATGCAGTACCAAGTCTAGTTGTGCATATTGTCAGCATTTTCCGGTTCAATGACTTTTGTCAGAGTTATGGCCCTTTAATAATTTTTATTTTTAAAGTTTGTCCGGACTACTCATATACCACTAATGCAATTTTAATGAAACTTTACTGGATTCATCTGAAGCTCAAGTCCTTGCGCAAATTGCACGGGTTTTCCGGTTGAATGATTTTTGGCTGAGTTATGGCCCTTTGATAAAAAGGTGGTTTTTCTGTGTGTTGCCAGATACACAAAAGCTTGTCCGGACTACTCCTCATAAACTACTGGCGCAATTTTATCAAAACTTTACAGGAATGATCAGTACCAAATCTAGTTGTGCACAGTCTGTCTGTCACAAAACTTGTCCCAACATGAAATTGGCCATCATGAGGCGACACATTTGATCACTGATCGCTTTTGTTTCTGTTACAATTTACTGTATAATTTTTTAAATTTAGCAGTTATATTTAAGCTTAATGGATTTTAACACATTGCTTTTATTGATAGAGAAAGTACTAGAGATATGCTATAATCAAATAGACATAATAATCTGTTCATTAGTTACCTCTGATACAGTACCTACAAATATCTGAGTTTTACAATAATTCATAAATCATGATAAGTCATTATTATAATATTAATGCACCTTTTTTTCTTGTTTCAGAGAAATAAATTTACACTCTTTTAATTGGGGTCTACCATATTTGTCTCCACAGTTCATGAAATGTCACCTTGTACTTCAATTAGTGCATCTACATGTAAATTTTACGATTGATTTGCCCAAAATGATGATTTGTAAATTCTGTGTCTTGATATTGAATCAGCTTCATGCCATAGCTTATAGTATGTATCACTCAACACTGTCCATGAACAGATCGAGCTCATTCAAATCAATAGCAAACAGTAATATTTCTCACTTAATTGGGAAGAGGCCTTAGCCTCTTGATTTTGGGAAAAATTATTGCGGAAATTGCTGATTTCAGATTTGGGAAGAAAAAAAGCTGGTTTAAGTTAACATTTTTGTGTAAACTGCATGCTTTTAAAGAGGCCTTTTATCGGAGTCTGTTATATAATTAGGAAAATCACTGACAAATAATGCAAAATCAAAATATGCAACTTTAAGATGCCTCAGAAATGCTACTGAAGCAATATACAATGTACTTGCCAATGCTTAGTTTTGTATAAAATTGAAATCAAAGTAAATGAATATAAGCTTGTTATAAGATAAATATATCTTTGACACCTACAGATTGTTGTTTCATGCTTTATTTTATTCTTTTATTTTTTTTTTACTTTTTTTACTTCAGATTGATTTATGGAAGACTCCATGTTCCGGTAATCAACTTCTGACAATGGCAAAGGTTCCAGGGTCTGCTGGCTTTCCATTGGTTGGAGACAGGTCATATGACTTTTATAAGGATCCAATCAAATTTCAGAATAAACATATGGAAAATACAAAATCCAGAGTTTTCCTGTCAAGATTTCTGAATAAGCCAACAATATTCATTGGATCAAATGCAATACTACAGGAGGTTTTGAAAGGTAATTAGTTTAGAAAATTTGAACACAAGTTAATGGAATAGACCTACATCAAATGATATAAAAATCTTTAAAAAATAAAAGAAGCTTTGAAATTCCTTGATGTCAAAAGCCCTCAGTTGAGTCCATTTATTGTTCATGTAAAATCAAGTATCAATTTTTATTTCAATAGTTAGAGAATCTCATGCTAAACATAGGTGTTCTTATTTTGAAAATAGGTTTTTATGTACATGTATATTTTTCAGACCATGCTCATGATATGGAACTTGGCTACAAACAATTTATGGGAGAGATATATGGGGAAAACATCATTTTTTCAGATGGTAAATAGCATTGATTTCACTTTTCATTGTAAAATAATGAATAATAATTAATGACTGACCAAATTTATTTAGTCATTGCATAACCTCCACTTTTCAAAAATGAGAAACTCCACCTTTGTCATCCAAACACTGACAGAAAATCAACAAACATGACTATAATTGTACATGATTACTATTTTGTAAATGAAAGGCCAAGTTCACCGTGAAGGAATTACGGTAACAATGGGCTTGCATACCCAAGTTAGTTGGGAAATACCACAGTTGTTGTGTTCCAGATACCAACTTTTAATTTTTTTAAAGTTTGACGCTGATGTTTCGATTGCCTGAGCTATTTTATAGACTTCATTTGCCTGTTAAAATTCATATACATGTAATTATGACCTTTATAGTGTTACCATGGGATTTTCCTTTGAAAAACATCATTTCTGAACAGTATATGATTAGATTTACAACAATATTGTTAAAAAGGTTAATGAAACTTTAGAAAGCTTGGTTTTGAGGCCTACAGCGAAATATTTTTATGAATTTATAAAATGCATATATTTATTATTTATTTTAGGTAACTGTGCTGAAAGTTTGAGAGAAACACTAAAACATTTGTTTACATCAGAGGCTGTGCAGTCATATCAATCTACTATTGATAGGTTGGTGATTTCTTTTGAAGTTTTTATCTCTTTTAACAAGACATACACATTTATCAATAAATAATCATTGAACCAGTTTGTGTATTAGTGTTTAAATTGGCCATATTATCATTGAGATAAGTAAATAGGTTATAGTTTTAATTTTTATGCTCCCCAAAGTGAGAGCATTATAGTAGCCGCTGTGTCCCTCTGCTTTTCTTGTGCGGGTCATTACTCTGAAACTACAAGAGGTATCAACAAGAAACTTTGTAGGTAGATAGATCTCATTGAGTACAAGTGCAGTGCAATTGAACCGTAATTCTACCTAACCTAACTTTTGAGTTATTACCCTTTTTGCCTAGGTTGTACTGGTGCAATCCCGGGTTATAGTATGGGGAATGCAGGCGGGCTGGAAAAAAAAACTTTTCATAACAGTTTTCTCACTACTTATCACAGCCTCTTGATATTGGCATACAGCATTGACATGTGGTCCCATACCGTGGGATTCGATTTTAGGTCTGTGGCTCATCCACTTCCTGTTTATTGACTTAGTTAAATATTCAACATTAATTGTCAATGGTAGAAAATTTTCGTAAGTGTTTTCTCAGCAGCTACTAATCAAAGCCTCTTGATATTTGGCATAGAGCATTGACACATGGTCCTATATCATGGGACTCGATTTCAGGTCTGTCTCTTATCCACTTCTTGTTTACTGGCTTAGTTAAATTTTCAACATTAATGGTCAATGGTAGGAAATTTTTGTAACAGTTTTCTCAGCAACTACATGTACTTATCACAGCCTCTGGACATTTGGCAACAGCATTGACATGTCGTCCCATACCTTGGGATTTTAGTTCAGGTCTTCCACTTCCTGTTTACTGACATAGTTGAATTTTCAACATTACTGGTCAGTGAAATTTTTTTTCCGTAACATCACAGCATCATGATATATGTTATACAAATGCCACCCAGCCTTTTCTGTATCTATAAATGGTAACTTTTATTGGTATGGTATTAAAATTCTGTAAACTATAGTGAACTCAATTTTACAATGAATAGTTTGTAGACTATTTACTGTATATGCAGGAGAATAATTAAGTGTGTATATTATAAATGCCATTTTGAAGCTTAATTGACTTATGATTGATATAAAATTCTAGTTTACCATTTTGCAGGGTTGTGAAAAAGGCCATAGGAACTTTAGAAGACGGGTAAGTAAATTTGAAGAAATTTTTTTTATTAAAAAAATTGTTTAAAGATCCTTAACTCAATTTTTAGCTCGACTATTCGATAATGATAAGTAGAGCTATTGTAGTCACCCGATCGTCGGCGTCTGCGTCGGCGTAACCACTTATGTTAAAGTTTTTGTAATAGTCAGTGGAACCTGTCTAATCCGAACTCGTCGGGACCAGAAGAAAAGTTCGGATTAGGAAGGTTTCCGGATTAGAAAGGTTTCAGGATTAGAATTTTTTTTTACATGTTTGTTTATGTTATTGGCAGAAAAATTTAAGGAAAGAAAACCGGATTGCATTTGAAATTGCAATAAAATTATTTATTTTTGCAATCTCTTATCTTTCATTTTAATTCATGTGAATACAAAAACAAATAGATAAATAAAAATAAATAAATAAGCAAAAATGTTATATCCTCAAGGGTAAGTTAATCTACGATGTTAAATAGAAGGCTGAGACATGATTTAATATTCATACCAGCATTTGTCAATTGTTGATTACTCTTATCCGATTCAGTGATTATCCGAATTCACTGACAGTTTCCATTAATATTCATAACTTAATCACATGTCATTAAATCCATTACTGAAGATAAAAAGATACTTCTATTGCATTATATCAAAATATTTATTGAAGGTGACGAAAAACAATCAATTAAGCAATTATAGTACTGTAGATATCAAGGCAAGCTACGTGCAATTTTCACACCTTCGCAGATCATACGTTTCACCCATAATCAAGCGAAATTACTCTTAACAATTTGGTGTTGTTTACACTTGCAAGATGTGCGATTTTTTGTTATTTTGAATGTAGGTGTGACATTTGGCAAAATCTGTTCGGATCCCAGAGGTTAATTTTAGAGTAAAATAAGGAGAAAAATTGAAAAAATCGTCCGGAATTCGGAGTAGACAGGTTCCGGATCCGAAAGGTTTTTTACTATTGAAAATAGAATGAATAAAATCGGGTCCGGACACTGCGTTCGGATAAGAAAGGATTCCGGATTAGAAGGGTTCGGATTAGCAAGGCTCCACTGACATATGGACATATGGCTTTGAAACTTTGCACACTTGTTCACCATAATTACCCCAACCTGTAAACAAGAGGAGGTAACTGTATCAAGCTTTTGACAGAATTATGCCCCTTTTTCGACTTAGAATTTACGTTAAAGTTTTTGTAATAGTTCAAATATTTTCAAAGTCCATTGACATATGGCTTTGAAACTTTGCACACTTGTTCACCAACATTACCCCAACCTACAAAACAGGAGGAGGTAATTGTATCAAGCATTTTTTTTTACTATCAAGCACTAAGAATAGTCGAGCGTTGCTGTCCTACCGACAGCTCTTGTTTTTATGGTTTTATCTTAAATATAATGCTCAAATGAAGATTTATCAATATTGTATGTTCCAAAAAGCATGATTTGTAAATATATTACCAAATTTACATTTTATGCTTATAAAGGGAGGTAATTAGAAATTTATTTTCCATAAAGCCTTATGCATATATTTTAATGATTACATATAATGTGGACAATTATTTGCAGTACATATTGAACATATTCTTTGATGTTTGAAAATTGTTTTAAAAGCATAGTTATATACATATATAAAATTTCACTTAAGTGTGGTTACAACCTTAATTACAACATACAGGATCTTTAAAGCAAAATCATTCTCTTTCTTTTAAAGGTGACTGATTTTAAATGAACAATTCACCATGACTTTAAATATATACAGCTTGCTGCATAACTGAGAGAAAAAAATTACGAAAAGATGCAATTTTTTTTGTTATTCTTCCTGACGACAATGTGTAATGACATCACAGTCTCCAGTATTTTGATTATTTCAGGAAAACGTTTTGTGTCTATCAATTTTTCAAGAAGTTGGCTGTAGAAATCTGCTTAAGTTTATTCCTGGGTTTAGACTTTAGTGAATCTGAGGCAGAGGTTATTTCCCAGCTGACAACGACACACTGGCACGGTATAATATCTGTACCGGTAGCCATTAAAGTACCCAAGATGAGTGAGTCAACATACAGTAAGGCTTTAGATGCAAAGGTGATTGATTATTTATTTATAGTGACAATCAAATTATTAATTTATTTCAAAAGTAAGAATATAAACATAAATATTGATTTACAACAATAAAACAAAAAGCTTTGACATAGTAAAAAAGGTCTTTCTTAAAGTAGTATAATATTCGACCTAATCAATTTCAGATACTGCGTAAAAGAGAAATAGTGGAACAAATTTTGTAAAAACGAAAATTCAAATATATTTGAACATGGAAAACAAATATTCGAACATTAAAGTCCTTATTTGTTCCGGGCCCTAATTTATACCTTTTAGAACTTATTGTTATAATGATATACCTATGTCACTAGAGTATAACTATCCTTGAGTCTGCAAAGATGTGCAATGCAGTTAGATTTTATTTTAGTATATTGATACTGATATTCCTTAGAGAAACAGTGGACTGTTCCAAAATCTTATAAGCATCAAAATTTATCAAATTCAGCAGAATGAGGGTTACACTCTTTATGCAAAGTTATATGTAACAACAATGAAGCTCATGCCTTCTCCTTAAATTTCTGATCATCATATATATGATATGCACTTCCAGCACAGGTAACTTGCCTGATTATCATATATTATTTGAACTTTAACACAGATAACTTGCAACATGTTGAAAAAAAAACACTGTTATAGAATGACAGTTATATAAAATGAACTTCTTTGAAATGGCTATAACATTGGAGGCTTCCTGACAGCTACTAGACCATCTGAAATTCTTGAAACAGATATAGCTTGCCTAATTATGTTTGTTGAGGGGCTGACCAAATTTCAAGGAAATTAGAATTACATAAGGACTGTGTATCTTTGAAATGGAAATCAATCAAAATCTGCCACACACATCTCAAAAATTCCTGTTTTAATTGACCATACATGTATGTCGAGCACATTTTCCCGTACTTTTGCAAAGTTTGTATTAGTGTCATCTGAAATGTAAAGTTTTGTTTTTTCAACTACAACAGAGAAAGCTGCTGGATATTATACAAAAAAGACGGGAGGAGAAGTGCCACAGTTTCCCTCAGAAAGTAGAGGCTTTACCTGACCTCGAGGAGATTCTAGTCAACAATCATTTACTGTTGTTTACCTCAGCCCTTGTTCCAAAGGCCCTGTCTTCAATACTCACATCTTTTGTAATAGAAGTTGGTCACAAGGAAAAGGTATGTTGTTGAATTCTTTTAGAAAATGTTCATAAGTGCAAAACATAATTAAATTACCGGAATCAACGTCATAATGGAACACGCGTTAAACACGCAAAAAACGTTATGGCATTCAGCAGCAACATGTAAAAACAAATATTTATGTTTTGAATAAAGCTGATACATGAATTAAAATGGATCAATAGTGATACAGATGTCTATTAGACAGTGTTGATAAAAATAAGATAATAGACAAACATATTAATATTCATGTAACACATACAATACTTTATTATTTAGTCCATTTGGAATCATAGTATTTAAATTTGTTCCTGAAATTTTGCATATCGACTAAAACGAAGGTAAGCTTCATGAGAATAATGGAAAAAAAAATTGTATTGTTTCCCTTCATTGTGAATAAGCTGACAACTCGAAAATGAGGACAGTGACCCCATTTTTGTTTTCGTTTAAAATGTTTCTGTTATCACATTCTAATAATATGCCAAGTTTAAAGAAATTCTATTGAACAGTTTAATTTTGCCTATATGTCTATATGAAAACTCCCGAAAACGTCCTTAATATAGGATCCAAAAAGATTCTTTACATTTTTAGCTCACCTGTCACAAAGTGACAGGGTGAGCTTTTGTGATCGCTTTTCGTCCGGCGTCCGGCGTCAGTCAGTCCGTAAACTTTTACTTTAAATGACATCTCCTCATAAATTACTAAGCCTATTTCATCCAAACTTCACAGGAATGTTCCTTTGGTGGTCACCTTTAAAAATTGTTCAAAGAATTTATTTCCATGCAGAACTCTGGTTGCCATTGAAACCAAAAGAAAAACATTAAACATCTTCTTTTAAAAAACCCAAAGAGCTAGAGCTTAGATATTTGGCATGAAACATCTTCTAGTAAGTGTCTACCAAGTTTGTTCAAAGAAAAGCCCTGGGATCAAAATTGGCCCCGCCCCAGGGGGTCATTGATTTTCCCTATATGCATATAGTATAAACTTAAAAAAATTTCTTTTAAAGAATCCAAAGAGCTAGAGCTAAGATATTTAGCATGAAATATCTTCTTATGGTTGTCTACCAAGTTTGTTCAAATAAAAGCCCTGGGGTCAAAATTGGCCCTGCCCCAGGGGGTCATTGATTTTCCCTATATGCATATAGTAAAAACTTAAAAAATCTTCTTTTAAAGAACCCAAAGTGCTAGAGCTAAGATATTTGGCATGAAACATGTTCTAATGGATGTCTACCAAGTTTGTTCAAATAAAAGCCCTGGGGTCAAAATTGGCCCCGCCCCAGGGGGTATTTGATTTTACCTATAGGCATATAGTAAAAACTTAAAAAAATTTCTTTTAAAGAACCCAAAGAGCTAGAGCTAAGATATTTACCATGAAACATCTTCTTATGGGTGTCTACCAAGTTTGTTCAAATAAAAGCCCTGGGGTCAAAATTGGCCCCGCCCCAGGGGGTCATTGATTTTCCCTATATGCATATAGTAAAAACTTAAAAAATCTTCTGTTAAAGAACCCAAATAGCTAGAGCTAAGATATTTAGCATGAAACATGTTCTAATGGATGTCTACCAAGTTTGTATAAATAAGAGCCCTGGGGTCAAAATTGGCCCCGCCCCGGGGGTCATTGATTTTCCTTATATGTGTATAGAAAAAACTTAAAAAATCTTCTTTGAAAAAAACCAAATAGCTAGAGTTTAGATACTAAGCATGAAACATCTTCTAGTGATTGTCTACCAAGTTTGTTCAAATAAAAGCCCTGGGGTTAAAATTGGCCACGCCCGGAGGTCATACCTTTTCCTAATATGTGTTATACAAAAACTTTAAAAAATCTTCTTTGAAAAAACTCAAATAGCTAGAGTTTAGATATTAAGCACGAAGTATCTTCTAGTGAGTGTCTACAAAGTTTGTTCAAATAAATGCCCTAGGGTCAAAATTGGCCCCGCCCCGGCTGACATTGATTTTCCTTATATGTGTATAGCAAAAAATTAAAAGTCTCCTTTGAAAAAACCCTAATAGCTAGAGTTTAGATATTAAGCATGAAACATTTTCTAGTAAGTGTCTACAAAGATTGTTCAAATTTTCTTTTAAAGAATCCCAAAGAGCTAGAGCTAAGATATTTAGCATGAAATATCTTCTTATGGGTGTCTACCAAGTTTGTTCAAATAAAAGCCCTGGGGTCAAAATTGGCCCTGCCCCAGGGGGTCATTGATTTTCCCTATATGCATATAGTAAAAACTTAAAAAATCTTCTTTTAAAGAACCCAAAGTGCTAGATCTAAGATATTTGGCATGAAACATGTTCTAATGGATGTCTACCAAGTTTGTTCAAATAAAAGCCCTGGGGTCAAAATTGGCCCCGCCCCAGGGGGTATTTGATTTTACCTATAGGCATATTGTAAAAACTTAAAAAAATTTCTTTTAAAGAACCTTAAGAGCTAGAGCTAAGATATTTACCATGAAACATCTTCTTATGGGTGTCTACCAAGTTTGTTCAAATAAAAGCCCTGAGGTCAAAATTGGCCCCGCCCCAGGGGGTCATTGATTTTCCCTATATGCATAAAGTAAAAACTAGGACTGGGAATTATATTCGAATATTCGAAACACTACCGAATATTCGAACATTGAAAAACGAATACGAATATTCGGAAAAAAAATTGTTATAATATATAACTTTCAAATTTCAATTAAGATCGTAAATTAAACCATTAACCTGTACTTGACCAGGTCTTCACACGTTTGTATGTCGCGTGTCAACGATTATCGCCAATTAACTGTGAAAACTTTGGGATCCAGCTGATCAAAAAGACACCCGTTTCACAGTTTGCAATTTACCTGTTTAACAGTTTATAATTAAATTCTTTCCGATTTTAATTATCTTAATTATTGTTTTCTGTGCTATAATCTTTCTGATTAATCAATAATTGTCTTCAATTTTGTGAACACGCATTATGTGTTACTACATCATGGGAAGTGTCTATATTCCGTCAGAATATATTTATTCCGTAGAAATTAGACTCCGTATGATATTTACTGCGTTAAAGCTAAATTTATCTGAAGAATATTTTAAACCTTATCTAAGATTATAAACAAATAAAGAAATATTTAATACAAGTTAAGTTTCAATATAATTATGTGTTATTGGGGCTAATCAAGTCACGTGAGTTACCTCCTGTTAATAAAACGAATGATTAGCTGTCGGATTTACTGAACAATAGGCAATCAAATTATGAATTTATTTCAGAATTAACATATTTAATATATAAAATAAAACACTTTGACGTAGTAATAAAGGTATTTTTAATCGTCAATTTTTCCAAACATATTAAAGTATTATAGTATTGGACGCAATCAATTTCGGATACATATACGTCAAAGAAATATTTGAACAAATGTTGTAAAAACGAATAATCGAATATATTCGAATATGGAAAACGAATATTCAAACATCAGATTCCTTATTCGTTCCCAGCCCTAGTAAAAACTTAAAAAATCTTCTGGCATGAAACATGTTCTAATGGATGTCTACCAAGTTTGTTCAAATAAAAGCCCTGGGGTCAAAATTGGCCCCGCCCCGGGGGTCATTGATTTTCCTTATATGTGTATAGAAAAAACTTAAAAAATCTTCTTTGAAAAAAACCAAATAGCTAGAGTTTAGATACTAAGCATGAAACATCTTCTAGTGATTGTCTACCAAGTTTGTTCAAATAAAAGCCCTGGGGTTAAAATTGGCCCCCCCGGAGGTCATTCCTTTTCCTAATATGTGTTATACAAAAACTTTAAAAAATCTTCTTTGAAAAAACTCAAATAGCTAGAGTTTAGATATTAAGCACGAAGAATCTTCTAGTAAGTGTCTACAAAGTTTGTTCAAATAAAAGCCCCAGGGTCAAAATTGGCCCCGCCCCGGCTGACAATGATTTTCCTTATATGTGTATAGCAAAAAATTAAAAGTCTCCTTTGAAAAAACCCTAATAGCTAGAGTTTAGATATTAAGCATGAAACATTTTCTAGTAATTGTCTACAAAGATTGTTCAAATAAAAGCCCTTGGGTCAAAACTGGCCCTGCCTCAGGTGTGTCATTGTTTTTAACTATATGTGTAAAGAAAAAAACTTGACCAGCTAGACCTTGGATGTTAAGCATGAAATATCTTCTAATGGGTGTCTACCAAGTTAGTTCAAATAAAAGCCCGGGGGTTTAAACTGGCCCCGCTCCAGAGGCCTATATACAGGTGAGCGACTTCAGGGCCATCATGGCCCTCTTGTTTCATTATATGTGTGTAGTAAAAACTAAACAACATGAAACATCTTCTAATAGGTGTCTTCCAAGTTTGTTCAAAATAAAAGCCCTAGGCTTTAAACTGGCCCTGCTGCGGGGGCCACTATACAGGTGAGCGACCTCAGGGCCATCATGGCCCTCTTGTTTTGTTTTTAGCTTACCTGTCACAAAGTGACAGGGTGAGCTTTTGTGATCGCTTTTCGTCCGGCGTCCGGCGTCCGTCCGTCCGTAAACTTTTGCTTTAAATGACATCTCCTCATAAACCACTGAGCCAATTTCATTTAAACTTCACAGGAATGTTCCTTTGGTGGTCACCTTTAAAAATTGTTCAAAGAATTTAATTCCATGCAGAACTCTGGTTGCCATGGCAACCGATAGAAAAATCTTTAAATATCTTCTTTTAAACAACCCTAAGAGCTAGAGCTTAGATGTTTGGCATGAATCATCTTCTAATGAGTGTCTACCAAGTTTGTTCAAATAAAAGCCCTGGGGTCAAAATTGGCCCTGCCCCAGGGGGTCATAGATTTTCCCAATATGCATATAGTAAAAACTTAAAAAATCTTCTTTTAAAGAACCCAAAGAGCTAGAGCTAAGATATTTAGCATGAAACATCTTCTAGCGAGTGTCTACCAAGTTTGTTCAAATAAAAGCCCTGGGGTCAAAATTGGCCCCGCCCGGGGGGTCATTGATTTTCCCAATATGCATATAGTAAAAACTTAAAAAATCTTCTTTTAAAGAACCCAAAGAGCTAGAGCTTAGATATTTAGCATGAAACATCTTCTAATGAGTGTCTACCAAGTTTGTTCAAATAAAAGCCCTGGGGTCAAAATTGGCCCCGCCCCAGGGGGTCATTGATTTTCCCTATATGCATATAGTAAAAACTTAAAACATCTTCTTTTAAAGAACCCAAAGAGCTAGAGCTTAGATATTTAGCATGAAACATCTTCTAATGAGTGTCTACCAAGTTTGTTCAAATAAAAGTTCTGAGGTCATAATTGGCCCCGCCCCAGGGGGTCATAGATTTTCCCTGTATGCATATAGTAAAAACTTAAAAAATCTTCTTTTAAAGAACCCAAAGAGCTAGAGCTAAGATATTTGGCATGAAACGTCTTCTAGTGAGTGTCTTCCAAGTTTGTTCAAATAAAAGCCCTGGGGGTTAAAATTGGCCCCGCCCCAGGGGGTCATTGATTTTCCCTATATGCATAAAGTAAAAACTTAAAAAATCTTCTTTTAAAGAACTGTAAGAGCTAGAGCTTAGATATTTGGCATGAAACATCTTCTAATGGGTGTCTACCAAGTTTGTTCAAATAAAAGCCCTGGGGTCAAAATTGGCCCCGCCCCAGGGGGTCATTGATTTTCCCTATATGCATATAGTAAAAACTTCAAAAATCTTCTTTTAAAGAACCCAAAGAGCTAGAGCTAAGATATTTAGCATGAAACATGTTCTAATGGGTGTCTACCAAGTATGTTCAAATAAAAGCCCTGGGGTCAAAACTGGCCCCGCCCCAGGGGGTCATTGTTTTTCCTTATATGTGTATAGCAAAAACTTAAAAATCTTCTTTGAAAAAACCCAAATAGCTAGAGTTTAGATATTAGGCATGAAACATCTTTAAGTAAATATCTACAAAGTTTGTTCAAATAAAAGCACGGGGTCAAAACTGGCCCTGCCCCAGGGGTGTCATTGTTTTTAACTATATGTGTATAGTAAAAACTTAAAAAATCTTCTTTTAAAAAACCCAATGAGCTAGAATTTAGATGTTTAGCATGAAACATCTTCTTATGGGTGTCTACCAAGTCTGTTCAAATAAACAAATAAAAGCCCTTTGGGTTTAAAATTGGCCCGGGGGGGATGGGGGGCTATATACAGGTGAGCGACCTCAGGGCCATCATGGCCCTCTTGTTTTTTTAAATTTTGGGTTATGACATTAGCTGTATCTTACAATGAATTCCCCTTGAAACTGATGCTATGGGCATAAATGTATCTTAACATAACTACTACAGTTGATTTAATCAATCTGAATATGGCTGTGTTTGAAGACCTTTATGCAGGTGTCACACTGTCCTGAAATTGGCATCAGATGGACACACGAATAAGGAAATGTTCGAATTCCAATCTGATTGTAATAACATTGGGCCATTCATGAGGGCATCTTGTGCCATCAAATGACCCCCAGCTACAATTTTCAGGCTCCAGCAGCAACTTCATGAGCACTCGCAAAATATTTGGCATGCCAAAAAATTGTCAGAAGACATTTCGAAGGTTCAACTCTGTTTTAAATTTGTATGCCAATTTGCAGTTTGTGAGGCCATCTTGAAGCCATCTTGTCAAATTGTGTAGTCTTTGTTTATACTTCAAATGATCATGATCATTTATTGCCTCAAGGAGACAATGCAAAGGAAACAAAAGGTGCCAAATTGTCTCAGGAAGGCACCACAACAACGTAAAACCCCTGCAATACTGTCGTGTCACCGTTGTACATGTATTTTGGTATGATGACATCAAGATGGGACCAGAATGTTGACGAAGAAAGCAAATGTGAGTGGCTCAAGCATTGCATATGTATCATGGTGGAATATAAAAGGCTAGCCTCAGACGATCTTCCACGTCTGTCATTCCTGCACATCTCTACAGAAACTTCAAAAGCTTCCATTATTTGCAATTAGTTAACAATCATTTTCAGTTCATTTCCTGCAGAATGGCATACTTTGATTATGAGTCAACAAAGAAAAAGATGGCAGCATCATTGCTTCTTTTGATTCACCTTAGAAAACATAATGAGCAACTCTTACAGGCCCACCTTGGAAGGCATGATAAAGTTCAATCAAATTTAAAATAAAGTTTAAATATAATTGTGTTCCCAACTGTATTTTGCCATGGTTGGCCATGTGACACCTTCTTGACCACTTTGGAATGCATGATACTCAAAACACTATGTTGTGTATCTATTGCATGGCTTTCGCGTGTCTTGCGGGTAAACTACTTGTTAAAATTTGCATCTTTGAGGTGACTTTGTGTGTAGATCGGATGCCATAGCATGATCTTCTACATGAATCGTGTGTGGATCGGATACGATTCGTGACCTTATGTAGGAATCATACTTGCTTTGGCTGTTGATTGGCTGTCGACCAATTTTGGGGCCATCTAGGCGCAAAATTCCATATTCGAATGCCCGTCTGATGTCAATTTCGGGACAGTGTGACGCCTGCAATAAGGGTTATAAATTTTTGAGAGAGTTAAAACATACATGTAGAATGATCTATGTTATTCATTACACATGAATATTATATGTAGACAGAAAAAATTTGTTTGCAAACAAAATATAATGCAGCTGTAGTCAGTAAAGTTGTAACTGTTAAAATGATTTTGTGCATACAAGATTTAATTAGACATATTTTTTTTCATATACATGTATGTAATGTATTTTTAAATCAATCATTTTTAAAATTCAAACAATAAGTTTGCTAATTACTGGCAACAGATATATAACTTTATACACTTAGAATTAAGTGTTAAGAATTATCAAGCTAATGCAGTCACCCATTTGTAGGCCTCCCAGTGGTTAAGTTTTTGTGTGTAAGCTAGTATCTCCATAACTACTGAAGGGAATGGATTGACACTTCACACATTTGTTCTGTGTGATTATCTAACGATTGGCACAAGTCCCATAACTCTGATTTGCTTCTTTTTACATAATTATACCCTTTTTTTCAACTGGTATCTCCATAACTACTGAGGGTTTCTACTGAGGGTTTGTGCCTTTTTTTGTGACAATTTTATGCATTCATAATAATTAAGCAGTGATTTACTTGATAAAACATCTTAATAACAAGTCTTTGTATCTTTTCGGACAATTTTATGTATTCATATAGGTAAGCATTATTATACTCAATGAAACACCCTTGTGACAAATTTTTCGAATATTCGAGCGTCGCTGTCATCTTGTTATGTTTGTTGTTGTTTGTTTTTATTCACAGAAAGATTTACAAGATGATATGCTAGAGAATGAAGATTTGTTAGAAAGTGTTGTATTAGAAGTACTAAGATTATACCCACCTTTTATTGGTGGCAGGAGGGTTATAGCTCAGGTCAGTCAATATTATACAGTTATCTATCTTGTTTTTAGTTAGGTTTATTTATACATGCCTGCAATTTTTAAACCATATGGGCCAGCATATGTCTGTGTTCTGACTGGTCCGGTGTACGAACCCTCATCAGCAGTGACTTGTCACTTTGTTTTTCAATACCATCTTATTGTTTGTTGGTAATAGTATTAGGCAATGGTAAACTCATCTAAAGCATTTTTTTCCAACAAAGCAAACTTTTGTGAGAAATTGATAAAAAAACAATTACAGTTAGTGGTCGCCATCCTACTATTTGAGTTATCGGTATAATATATATCCACCCCTGAAATTGATAACATTTTCCTTATGGCCTTTGTGATACATTATATCTTCACCCAAAAACGCCTTTAAAAAGAAACATTGTTCATTTTGCTGAAAGTTATTGCGTTTCTGTTATATGTATTAAAAGTTTAAAGTGACATTATGCCAATCAAAGGGTATATAGTAAGTGGTGGTAAAGGTGAAATTAAGTTTCATTTTGCAATAATCCCTTTCAATTTGTAATTCATTTGGCATGATCGATTGATAAAGCACATGGTTCAAGGAATTTTTTTGTAATATCCATGGAAATTTGCCTGTATATTTCATTTATAAAAAGAGTGGACGTTTTATATTTTAGGCTTAACATTTTCAACGATCAACTATTGGTCAATCACCATTATAACAGTTATACTTTTGAAAAATAATGTCAATTCACCTCAACATGACAATGAAAGAATGAGCATAATGTCACTTTATATATACAGGAGTTTACAGCTGGAGGTTACAGGATGCCTGCTGGTCATGCAATACTCTATCTAACCTACCTCGCTCAAAGAGATCCTACTGTGTTTGATAATCCGGATGAATTCAAGCCAGGTAGATGGCATGGCAAGTAAGTGCCCTCTTTATAGTGTAAAAAGTCTGTTTGTATGAGCTTAATAATATCTGTCATATGTTACAGTTTGAATCGGAACAACGTCATGAGGGTACCCCGCAAGCCTAGTTACTACCCATGGGTGGGTACTCAAGGAACAGATTATCCAATCCGAACCGCAGACATATGTCAGATATGTTTTCTTGCATATTCTGCCATATTATTTCATATTTAAATTAGTTTACCTCAGTAAGATATTTGTTAATGGATATTAATGTCATTTCATCCATATCTATTTTCTTACAATAGCGTATGAATTTACAACTTTAATAACAACAGCAAATTGTTGTCATCCATATCCATTATTCCCCTCTAAAGTCTAAATGACATCATTTTACTTAGTTCATTCATAAAATGCGCTAAAATGACGTTGTTGTATGTCAAGCGACTCATCTGGCACCCCCATGCCAGATGAAATTCTTGGGTAATATGTATGTGTGCACTTGTTTGATGATTGCCACCTGTAATTGATATGGTTTCCATGGTTTGCTTTTCCAGAAGAAAGTAAGGTGAGGCTAGTGCAGGTCTGTGCTTCTCCATCCCAGAAAAAAATCAGTTTGCAGATTAAAATCATTGAATATAATGCTTGAGATTCTGATAATTTCTTCATGTATATATACTCAACCAATGTGAATATTAGGTTTCAAAAGGTTTTATTTCTTGTTATTTCATGCATATCAGAAACCGCAAGATAGTGAACTCATGTTACCTTGTTTACTGTATAAAGATACTGTACAAAATTTGTTACAATGAAACTATCTTTACTGTCCTAATAAAAAAGAAAATTTTGGACTTGTGAGACTTTAAGGTTACATGTAACTTATGCTGAAAAGCCCTTGACTCTATCTCAATCAGTTGAGAATTTGAAGAACTATGAAATCAGTATTGATGAAAAAATCAATGCAAAAAAAGTAATTTTTGGCAATTTTGAGATGTCCTATTGTTGACATGGTAACAGAAAATGTAAGATTGAGTATGCCGTTTCAATGGCTATGGTCCAGTCAACATTTGTGCCAAGTTTAAACTGTATTGAAGCCTTTTTTACAGTTTGATAGTAATTTGAACTTGTAACAGGAGGCTTTTCAATGAAAACAGCCATTTTTTCACAAAATGCAAGTGCAGTAATAGCATTGGAGTAATAATGAAGAATTGTATGGCATATTTGCTATGTTAAACCATGATGTTCAGAACTACTTTTCCTGTTTGTTTAAAGAATGTCAATAGTAAACAAATACCATTCATTTTGACAACATATATAACATATTTCTCTTCAAGTAGATTTTATATTATACAAAACATTTCATTGATTTTGTTTGTATGTTACAGGAATAAAGATGATCGTGATAAATTGTTTTGTTTTGGTTCTGGTCCAAGAAGCTGCCTAGGTCAGAAATTAGTTTGGACTATAATCAAGGTATGTTTTTTCTATTTTGTATAGGAACAATTTTGCACTAGGAACAGGCTTTGTGTTGTTTCTAATTTTAGAGTTTGATGAGTGAGTTATCTATTTGTAACTACCACCTTCTACCCTGACTTGATTCTTGCTTATTTTTCCAAGTGAAGGAGCTATTCAGCTAGCCTAAAAATTGAAATGTAATTTCAGTTGTGCTTTGATATATACGTATAAGTGCACCTGTAGTTTTAGCTACTGGAGTTTCAGCGCTTGGGAGTACTGACATCTTAAACTTGAGCACCTGGAGTTTAAGCACCAGAAATCTTAGCACATAGTCTTAGCATCTGGTTTCTGGGTACCTGGAGTCCTAGCATGTACAGTTTTAACATATAGGGTCTTAGGTTTTAGAGTTTCAGCATGGACTTCAAACCCCTGGTTAACGAGCACCTTGAATCATAGCACCAGGAGTCTTTGCTTCTGGTGTGTTACTCATGAACAACTCAACAGCAGCATCATTGCAAGTTGATCATAGCAGTGTTTGAATAAATATCAAACTTTAATGCCTATACTAGATAAAGAAATGAGAATAATGTAGAATATTAAGTCTTATATTCAAAGCTTGATATCTATTTATAATGCATACTAGACACTGGGTTTTAAAGAAAGTTGAAATTCACCTTAAGGGAGATTTTTCTTATTTTAAAGCCATTTAATTGCTGTTTATTTTTATGTATTTTTGCATTGTATAATAAATATTCAATACTTTAAAATAACAGGAATTATTCACAGCTTTTGTTATTTTGATATTATGTAACAATATTAACATTTGAGAATGAATTATCTATTTTTTCTATTCTATAGACTGTGATAAAAGAATTGATGACAAATTTCAAGTTTACGTTAGAACCAGGACAAGATCTTGAACATAAATGGCTGCCAGTATCTAGGCCAAAAGGCAACATACTAGTCAAGTTAGAAACCAGGCAAACAGATGGTCAGAAATTAGATTCCTAGGGAGGAACTAATACTCAACAAGAAAAGAAGACCTCCTATTATTTTATATTTTGTTGAAAGTTTATTTTAATATGTATATTTATTTTGCTATACACTTTATGATCTTATTACATTTTTTTATTTATAGACCCAAAAGAGTTTGGGATTTACAGTGTTATGCACTTGATCGTCAGTCAGTCCATTCATTTGCAGTTTCTTGTTATCCCCCGCCAAAAAGGCGGCGGGGGATATAGAAATAGTGTCCGTCTGACCTTCCGTCTGTCCGTCCGTTCTTCCGTCCGACATTTTTGTCCGGAGCATATCTCTTAAAGTATTTGAGTTATCAACTTGAAACTTCATAGGTGGATAGACCTCATTGAGGAGGAGTGCAGTGCACAAGAATGATAACTCTACCCTGCATAATTTTTGAGTTATTGCCCTTTGTTATTTTTATGCCACCGCAGCATCTGCGATGCGGTGGCATATAGCGATTCACCTGTGTGTGTGTGTGTTTGTTTGTTTGTTTGCGTGTGTTTATTGCCCAATCTCGCTACATTGACCTGTAAACACACCAACAAATTGACTACATTTTGGAAAGTCACTACATACACTCGTGTAGTGATTTTCCTAATGCCTTTAAAAATGCTCTTTTCTTCATATTTTGTTTGCTAGTCGAAAATTTTGAATATGTGCAATTTTCCATGTTAAACTGACGTTTTATACACGTCCCTGTTAACTGAATTTTTGATGCGTACACACTTTTATCCAAACGCGCACCTGCTACCGGTGTTATGGTAAGAATGTCCCGCGAAACGTCCACCATATTGAACTCGAAGGACAACGTGTTTTTTTTTATAGTTATTGAAAAAGGTTTAATATTTCGGAGATACAAGATATTACAGACGTATAAGGTAAATATATATATATTTTCTATGGACATTATTTGTCAGCTATAGTTATAAAAGCTTCCTTTCGGGCATTAAATTAACATTCACTCAGGGTTCTCACAATCTCGATGACGCAGCCATGATCCAGAATTTGTTTAAAATAATCATGAAATACTAAAATAAAAAGATTCTATTTTATGTTATATAATTAAAATCAACAACAACTAGAATATTGGATGCTAATGCAGAAAACAAATTTCATTTGTCACACAATTTCGCGATGCCGCTTTTTATAAATAAAAAAGGGTCACCAAAAGGAAGAAAGTTTTGTTTTGTTAAAAGGTGGGAAACAACATTTAAGATGTACTTTATGAATTAAATTTGCTTTAGATATTATTTTACATTATTTGAGATGGAGATATTTGCCACTGGCCCAGTATGTGTTTGCCATACATATAATATTTACTTGAGGGAGGGAGATATGTTGAGTGAATCAATTAGTAAACAATAATGCATAATGGCCTGATGAGGAAAGGTTTTAAGGATTCAAATCTTATATTTCACTTTTTTTATAGTATAAAATATATAAGAATGGTAGGCTAAATTATTTGTGAAATATATGAAAAAGGGTCATCAGGTCTAGGATTTCATGATATTTATGGACTGTCCGTAAATTTATGGACAGTCTAGAAATTTAAAGATTTTTCAATCCATAAATTTACAGATATTCAATGTGAAATTTGCTGTTTTTAGTTTTACAATAAAATCCGCAGCTTAAGACAAGTTGTTTTATTGATTGTTTTATATTTACAAAGGTAATGGGGTGGGTTTCATCTTTGTATGATGATTTTGAAATTTTTGTTAAAAGTGAAAATTGAAAGTCATGAAACTGTTCTGAATCTTAGCATACTGTTACATTTAATCATATATAATACATAACCTTATTCATTTTAACCTGCGGTTTTAAATTTTAATGCAACTTCTACTATCTTCTTACTTAAGGTCTGTAAATTTACGAGGGGTGTCCCAGAATTACGTGGACTTTTGTTGTAACTCAAAAAGTACTGAAAATAAAAACAAACAAAATTAACGTGAACAAAATGCAACTTTATTGCATTAGTACAAAAAATTTCAAAGTTTTCCGGCAACTGGATCAGTGTCTGTGGGCCGGGTAATGAGACAAGGGGTAGCTGGTGCGGGGCAGTCCATTCCGACGTTACGACGTCATTCCGGTGGCGTCACAAGTTGTTAATTAATGCGTGGCGTCGAATGTCAGTTTTTCTCAACATAGTCGCCGCCTAACTCAATACACCTATGGTGTCGATATATCCACTGATCGTACACCGCCCTGTACCACTCCTGGTCGAAATCAGCCACCACTTTCTGCATTGCGAACGAGAGTTCCTGGAAGGAATTGAACTTCCGTCCCTTAAGTAAGCGATATTGTACATATACTTAATCCGCAAATAATAATAATATTAATAATAATTATCATTATTATTATTATAATAATAATAATAAAGCATACTATTAACTTCTGTTACGATAATAGTGTTAAAGACGACGGTGATAATGCTAACGCCGTATTATTATTATTATTATTATTATTATTAATTATCATTATTAGTTTTATTATTATTATATTATTATTATTATTCTTTTTATTATTATTATTGTGGAGTTTATTTTGTACGCAAAGACAATGTGCGTTAACAAGGGAAATAACCTATCATGCGCACTATCATCTATGACGTCCTTGACTTCCTTAATTGACGCCGCAGTCAAGTTGACTTTCTCCCACGACCCTTGTCGCTCAACGGCCGTCTCGAAAACGCTTATGCCACTTGAAAACGAGTGATCGAATAACAGGAGGTCTCACTTTTTCAGTCTCCAACATTTCCTGCGTCTGTGTTGGCGTCTTCCCAAGATTAACACAAAACTTAATGATAGTCCGATGTTCCGCGTAATCCGTGGACGTCATTTTTTGTTAAATATCCAAGAGCAAAGGTTGTCAGTTATCCACTGGTAAACAATAACGGAAACAGCTATGACGTCAAAATTTCAAACGAACGTTCATATGAAGTCACTGCATATGCTTACAGGGATTTTTTTTGGCTTATTTTATAGCCGTTATTGGGTCATATTCCCAATTGAAAATAGTATATTATTTTCCCAATCACCAGGAAAATATTCCCAATTGAAAATTACAAAACGAAAATATTGAATAAAGAATTCTAAAGTGTTTGAAAATAAGGGCTTTTTCACTGTAAGAATGCTTAAATGTTTGAAGATGCCATCCTAGACAGTGATTGTTTGCATTCATTGCAAAATTTCAGTCATGCATCTTTTCCCAATATTAAACAAAACATCGCTGAAATTCCCAATTCCATGGGTATGGGTCATGTTCCCAAAATCCTGAAAAAAATCCCTGGCTTAAGACGTCACCCCATTTTTTACGTATAAATACTCATGATATACGAAAGTAAAGACAACTTGTTAACACAAAATATTGGACTGCCCCGCCCTGCGCATACTGCGTTACTATAGCGACGTAAAATATAGAGAAGCAATGTTAGAAATTTAAAAATAATGGACATATTCATTAAGGATATGTTAAAGGTATTGTGTACAAATTTTCTAAAAAATGCATTAAAAAATAAAAAAGTTACAGCAAAAGTCCACGTAATTCTGGGACACCCCTCGTACAGACAAAAAAATCTATAAAATTATGGATCGTCCAAAAATTTACAGACTGACCGTAAATATCATGAAATCTTAGACCTGGTCATTGTGGTAATCTTAATTAATATTTTGCTGTTATAAGGAAATAGAACAGAAAAGATAATAACATATGTGAGTTTAGTAGATTAAAGTGTGACTGTATAGATCTCTATAAATTTTCATTTCTTTTTTAATTCACAATTTGGATTTTTTTTTTCAAAATTATCACGGTGACGGACCCATTCACAATTAAAGGAAATAATCGCTTAATAAATATATCATTTATAAAGAAAAAAAGCAAACTATCATCTGAAAAATGATAATTAAATTTAATGAAATTTATTTTGAAAATCTTTTTTGGGGCTCCATTGACCAACTAGAAATAATGTAGGCCCGAATTGACCAATTTTTTGGCAAAATTGACATGGGGCTGTGTTGAATTAAATTTGACTAGAGCTAGCTGCATTCTTGCAGCAAAGACGACTAACATAGTTTTGATGTTATTTTGGGTCTTCTACTTTTCCTGACTTAAGTACGCAAAGAAGATTTTTTAAAAATTGTACATTTGAGATTATTGAAATACATGTAGATAATTGTGTTTAGCTTGTCTCACACATGGTTCCAATAATTATAAGGTATACTTGGTTATACATGGATTGATTGGTATGAGTTTTCAGCTCCAATTGTGCCTTGGGATTAGTTGGCAAGTCTCAGTTACACTTGAATGTAGTACAAGAATGTACAAATAAAGCACGGATATACTCGGTCAAGTAAGGTTTGAAAATGATTTGCATAGGAATACATATTGTTGTAAGGCTCCAAGTAAGGTCTTATAAGTACGGTCTCATACAATTAAACAAGATTTTTACTTTATTTGCTAGAGTTTCATAGGGTTAACATAAGGTCCTGCAGAGTTTTTATCAAATTATTACATATTTGTGTATGTTTTGATATAAATTGATCCATTTTGATGGCTTCAGGCTTCATAAATTTTCAAACTAAAAATTCAATGAAAGGAAACACCCATATCTGCGAATAACTGTTATATAAAACAATGCAACAGATGACAGGATAAGAGAATTAGAAATCATGATAAGACTGATAGACATTGTTGTGTCCCCCAGCTCATGACAGTTTCACCGTCAGCAGGCTGAAGTGATCGGTGGGCCTTGATGGCCCTTGTATTATTTCTGTGCGTGGGAACCTTTTTCTTTTGGATGCATTCTAGGTTGATGCAACTAGTACTCTGGGTAGATCTAGCAGTTGAGGGTGGCTGCGCAGGTAGTTGTGGCTTTCGTTGTACAGTTTGTGCTGACGCAGATGCCATGTAAGACAGAATATACAAGGTGATGGCCCGTTTATACTCGTACTTATTATACCGTGTCTGCCATGTATGTTTCCTACTTGAACCGTATTGGTCATATGGTGATAGTTTGAAATCATATGTGCACTTGTGTAAATCGCACCGTGATCATGTGACATTTGGGTGTTTATCTGGTGTTGGAACAGGATTTAGGACTTTGGGAACGATTCCATGCGATTTGTATACGATTTCAGTTGACTTTAAATACGGTTGCATATACTGAATCTCATACGGGCTATTACGATCTTGTACAGTGGCTTATGTGACACCCATATAATTGTTTTAATATTTTCAAAAATCATACACAGCTTACACTGATACACTTGAATGGCCTCGGTTGGTTCGGTCATATGTACGGTTTACATGAGTGGCCAAACGTATAAGCTGTGTGTTCTGTGTGAGAAGGGCTTTACACAAGGTCAGGTGCAAAACTTGAACATTAAAGCAAATGAAACTACTATCTGTTGCATCAGGGTCTTTCAAATAGATTTGAAAGACCCTGGTTGCATATTAGACAAATGTCTCACCTGAGTTATTGATTTTAACTAATTTCAATTTCCTTCAAAAGAGTAAATGTATTTAATTGATTTAATTTCTTGAGTTCCGATAAAAAAATATTGTATTTTAATTTATTTTTGTAAAAATTATTTATATATGTACATGCATGTTATCTCCTTTATAATTTAATTCAAAAAATATTTCTGAAATGGATGGAATTCTTGTCTGATGTCAACCAAAATGTACATTTCAAGGAGTGTAATGATTATATTATTTATAGATGTCCCTGCAGTGTTTTTACCCCCTGCTTTGGGGAAATGGTGCCAGTACCAGACAGATTGTGATGGTTTAACTCAAATTGGGAATTTTACATAAGATGCAAAATATACATTGGGAGTTCCTTTTATCCAGGAAAACATGTATAATATGCATAATATACACTTAAAAACCGTGTATTATTAACTTCAATGATCTTTTTGTTACTTTAGGTTGAAAAAAAGAAAACAATTGTACATAGATAATATTTAGGTGTGAAACACTAAAAGTACGAAATGAACTGGGTACGAATATGGAATATGTGGTTATACTTGGTTATTATCCTATATCACTTATCATCATGGAAGCATCCATAATATATACTGGTTTGTTTAGCTTTTTGAGGAATTGTCAGTGTTATTTTGGGCTCTTTGCAGATATGAAATGGGAATTTGCTGTCTATTTTTTCTTTTGGGAACTATGCTGTTTTCTGGTA